AAGAAAGAAAGAAAGAAAGAAAGAAAGAAAGAAAGAAAGAAAAGAAAAGAAAAGAAAAGAAAGGAAAGAAAGGAAGGAAGGAAGGAAGGAAGGAAGGAAGGAAGAAAGGAAGGAAGAAAGGAAGAAAGAAAGGAAGAAAGAAAGGAAGAAAAGAAAGGAAGAAAAGAAAGAAAAGAAAGAAAGAAAGAGAAAGAAAGAAAGAAAGAAAGAAAAAGAAAGAAAGAAAGAAAGAAAAGCAAAAGTATCTCTTTCTTCCAGACAATAAATATATTACTTTATTAATTCCATTTAAAATTATGTCGTAAACAATTAGTCATATGGGAGCACCTCTAGACAATACCAAGTTTCATCTCATAATATTCAGCATGAAACTCAAAAATCAATAGAACAGGATTTGAACACAGATATTCACTGTCACAAATTTACTCTGAAAAAAAAAGAAACTGATGTTTTAATGAATCTGTGTAACTCACCAATTATCCACCACATTTTCTTGTGGAAATGTATTCATTTTCTACAGCTAAAATGGAAGAGATTTTGCCTGGGAGTAGCATTCTAAAAGCTAAGCCTTGAAATTCTGTTTGAAATCACCCAGCCATTTAAACACACACACACACACACACACACACACACCCCTGAGAAAATTCCTAAACTCACTGTGGGAAAGAAAAAGGTAAATAAGAATTTTTAACAAATGAAATATATGATTAGATTTTTTTTTGGAAACCCATATAATGCAATTTACAGCTAAAAAACTGAGGTCAAAATAAGTGACAAATCTCTTCGAGGTGACAAACCCAGGTAGTGGCAGTGCTGATTAAATAACAGATGTATCTGACTCATGTTTCAGGTCAGGTCATTCAATCACCGGAGAGATTCTTCCACCCACTCCTGCTCACTTATGTGCTCAAGAACCACCCATTCAGGAGACACTGCATTATGCCTCAGTGACTGCCCCAGGTGCATTTTACTTTGCAAGCTCTTACACCATCTCACTGGGGTCAGTTCTGTTGTTGTTGTTTGTCTTTTGGAATACTTTTCAGTAACAAAACTTTCACTTTTTTTCCCCAGTATTTTTCTTTAACTATATTTATTTCACTATTTTTCTGCCCCCTTAGATAATCCAGGGAGCAGAAATTATTTTTGTGTTTCCCCCTCAATACCAGCATCTGATTGGCAGACCAGCAATTTGTCTCCAAGAAATGAAAGCTGAGTTGGGTGAGAACAATTTTAATGTCTCCAGGGGTTACCTTTTCAAAATAAGAGTGCACCAGAAGATTCCTCTCAGCCCCAGGGCATCCAGTTGCTCCCTTGAAAGGACACATTCCATACCTCAGGTCATCCTACGGGAGAAAATAAACCAGAAGCTGACATTCACTAGGCACTTTAGCTGACAGAACCATGGTGGATATCTTGGTTTATCCCCAGATAGTACTGAAACCCAGGACCAGGAAAAAACTAAAGGGTGGCTGAGGACCGCTTTAAATCAGGGGAAGAAATTAGCACCTAGAGGGTGCCCACTGTTAGAAGCCAACTCGTAGTCAACCTGTCACTGAATCCTGGCATCCTGTCTGCACTGGGACACATCACCCCATAGATTTTTCCAAACCAAAACCTTGACCCAAAAACATTCTGATAAGATCTCTGTGCCTAGAGAAGATAAAAGGAAAAGAGACACAGAGATTTTCTACAATACAGTGTCAGAAGATTAGTCTTTGTTTCCTTTTCATGGGAAAATTTACAAACAGATGACAAATCTCAGAAGCACCATTTAATGCTTTGTCAAAAACAATTAAAATATGGTATAAACAAGTACACCAAAGGACAAATAGGTGATAATGTGAATTAGGGAGGAAAAGTTGGCATTTGGCAACGCCAGAAGAAATTGGAAATTTAATATCTTACAGCAAGCCAGCGTGAGGCTGGAGAAATGGGTGATAGGGGTTAGATTTAAGACCCTGCTTGGGACACAGGTGAAAAATGCAGCAGAAAATCAGTTCCCCGTGAAAATAATTAAGTGACAGGCAATTAGACTGAGGTGTCTCTAGTCCCTGGGTGCCTACTTAAAAAAAAAAAAAAAAAAAAATTAACTCAGGTGCATTTTTTTAAAATTACTACATTCAGAGAAAATGTAGGCTTAAACAAATATAAACTGCTAATTAACCTCTGATTACACAACCAGGAAATCTTCACCGATATTCTACAAACTAAGAAACTACATTACTGTACCTAACCAATTACTAAATTTAGTTTTCTTCATAATGCATTTTATAAATGACTTTCCTTCAAGCCTCTCACATAGACAACAAACTACAAACCATAGCTGGGAGCTCTACGATTCCTTGCATCACTGTTTGATTAAATTATTTAAGCCAGGCGCGGTGGCTCACGCCTGTAATTCCAGCACTTTAGGAGGCCAAGGCTGGCAGATCACGAGGTCAGGAGTTCAAGACCAGCCTGGCCAACGAGGTGAAACCCCCGTCTCTACTAAAAATAGAAAAAAATTAGCCGCGCCCGGTGACAGGTGCCTGTAATCCCAGCTACTCGGGAGGCTGAGCCAGGAGAATCGCCAGAACCCGGCAGGCGGAGGCTGCAGTGAGCCCAGATCGCGCCACTGAACCCTAGCCTGGGCGACAGAGCCAGACTCCGTCTCAAAATAAATAAATAAATAAATAAATAATTTAATATTTGTGCAGTGACTCCCATACATTTTTAATGAGAGAAAAGAGGAACTGGGAAAGCCACGGACCAAAGCTCTTCCCATTCATGAACCCGCACCCCGAGTCAGGATTCTCCCCTGACGACCCTCCCGTGGTCCCTGCACAATCTGAGAGACGCGGCGCTGCGGGTGCAGAGCTGCCCAGAGAGGGCCCCAGGCCAGAGGACAGTCACTAGGGCAGGGAAGAGACAAGACGCCTGGGGTCCTGGCTGTCAGCGCAGCCGCCATCTTATAGCTGAAGGGCACTGAGGCAAGCTGGGCAAGGAGAACTCGGGGCGCAGATTGTGGAGCTGACTGCGGAGAGGCTTGAGTCCCGCCACAGCCCCTTCCCTTCTCTCGGGAGGTCGGACCGGGCACTCTCACCATTTCCAGGCTTCCAGGGGGTCCTGGCGTCTTAGCGGTGGATCTCTCAATATCTGCAGGTCACAGGGCCACAGAGGATGGGCCCCCAGGAGCAGAAGACACAGAGTAGTGAGGACGAAACCTGGAGCTCCGGCTACAGCAAGAGACAAAGGCCCCGCCAAACCCGGAAGCCGTCCAGTCCGCTCCAGCTGCATGCCTGATTGGACGGTTTCCAGCGCAGCGTCCCTGATTGGATAATGCTTAAATCCCCGCCCCATCAGGCTTTGAGTGACAGAAGATGTGATCAGATGCTGTACTGAATGAAGCAAGAGTGACAGCCTAGGCTGCCCCCACTTCTGACAGGGCTTCCTCTCTGAGCTGAGCCAGGCCCATACCAGAGAGTATATGCCTTTAAACTTGTGTATAAGGTCATATGAATAAATAAATAATACATTATAAAGCTATACACAAATGAAAAGAATATAATGACAATTATTTTAAAATTTCAGCTTTTATGACCTTCCTGGCTTCTGGCCCAGCCCTTTGAGCAGGCAGCCTGAGATTGTAGAAAAGAGAAAATCATCTAAAATGAATGATTTTCATTTTAGAAAATGAAATTCTAAACTTTAGAAAAAATTTAGAAATTCTAAAATTTCATTTTAGAAAATCCACAGCCACGTGTGGATTTTAAATTTTCTAGTAGCCAAACTTTAAAAAGAAACAAGTTGAACTGATTGTTAACAATGTAATTAACCCATTATATTCAAAATATTATCATTTTAATGTGTGAGAAATATGTAATTATTGATAAAGTATATAAATATATGGAACTAAATCTTTGAAACTGACTTTGTACTTTACCTTTCTAGCATATCGCATTTCAGACCAGGCACATTATAGGAACCCAGAAGCCACACATGGACCATAGCTGTCACTTTGAAGTACAGCTCTGATATCAGCGGTGTGAAGGGCCTGAACATCTCTTGTCTGCCAGAGTGAAAGAAGAGACTCTCCCTACAAACATCTCTCTTTGGTTCTGAGGGTGGACCAGATAGTACCCATAGAAAGAGCTGAGGGCAGCAGGAATAAAATAGCCACAGGTAAACAACTGCTGGCCACCCGTTGCCCGCCTTTCTTTTAGAGACCAGATAGTGAACAAAGGATGATGGGGCCACAGGAGAAAGAAAAACTATGTCTTCAGTTCTGTCCACACACTTGAACTCCAATATTTAGAGATGGAGAAAATAGATTAAAAGCAAATATATTTTGCTACTTGGTCTTGGCCCTAATGGTCAGGCTGTGTTTATCTGTTTTCTCCTGTCGTGTGGGGGACTATGTGAGTCTAAGCACAAATCACATGCATACATGTCTACAAGTATTTCTGCATTACCCAAAATTCTCTTACAAAACCTTCAACTTTAAATCAGGGGAAGAAATCAGTACCTAGAGGGTGCCCACTGTTAGAAGCCAACTCATAGTCAACCTGTCACGGAATCCTGGCATCCTGTCTGCACTGGGTACATGTATTAGTTAGCTATTGCAGCATAACAACCCATCCAAAACTTATTAGTTTATAATTGAAATGATCAGCCATTTAGGCTGAGCCGAGTGGGGCCATTCTTCTAGTCTCAGCTGAGCTCCTTCAGATATGTATCATCAGCTGCTCATTGACTAGACAGCTGTGCTTCTGGGGGTGAGCTTCTGCTTCTGGGTCTGTCAACAGGGGCACCTTGCTTCTCCTCCCCGTGGTATCTTATTTTCCAACTGGCTAACATGGGCATTATACACGGAGATGGCAGCATTCTAAAAGAAAAACAGAAGCAGTCAATACCATTTGAGCCTAGGCCCCAAACTGGCCCACTGTCATGTTCACAGATTTCTACTGGCCTGAGCAAATAAGGCCAGCCAGATATAGGATTTTGCAAACAGATTCCGGATCTTGACGGGAACAACTATAAAAGCACCTGGCTATGGGCATAGATACAAGAGGGATGAAAAAATATCATTTTGCAATCAGTATCATTCTACCTTTTTTGAGTACGTGGTATATAGAACTCTTCCACATCAAGAAACTTGTACAAAGACCTACAGCTTCTAAGTGGCTGGGCTGAGACTCAGGATCAACTTTATCTGACTCCAAAGCCCATGCACCTCCACAGATCACACTACTAAAGTAGTTGCCCTTCCCTAGACCCTTGAAATCCTGAAGAGTGACACTTCCATAGAAGAAGTCAGATTCCTTTTAGATGTGTGCTCAGAGAGTACTTGTTTATCATTGGGAATAGTCCTCACAAGAAATTGCAGAAGCACATGGTGGGTCACACCTGTATTTTTAGCACTTTGGGAGGCTGAGATGGGAGATTTATTTGAGCTCAGGAGTTCCAATGCAGCCTGAGAAATATAATAAGATTCTGTTTCCGTGACAAAAATGAAGAAATTAGCCACCAATGATGGTGCATGCCTATAGTCCCAGCTACTTAGGTGGCAGAGGCAGGAGGATTGCTTAAGCCTGGAATGTCAAGGTTGCAGTGAGCTGTAAGTAGTTACACCACTGCAGTCAAGACTGGGTGACAGAGTGAGACCCAGTCTCAAAAAAAAAAAAGAAAAGAAAAGAAAAAAATTAGAGAAGCATTTTTGAAAAGACATCAAATAATTTGGGGAAATAGCTGAGGGATGAGTTTAGAAAATCACAGCCTAACGGCACATTATTTACTTTTCATCATAGAAAATATTTGAAATCTGTTAAAAGAAAAAATCTTTAGAGAAATTAATTTTTTTAATTTATTTTTTATTTTTGAGACGGACTGTCGCTCTGTCACCCAGGCTGGAGTGCAGCAGTGTGATGTCGGCTCACTGCCACCTCCACCTCCCCAGTTCAAACAGTTCTCCTGCCTCAGCCTCCCGAGTACCTGGATTACAGGCATGCGCCACCACAACCGCTAATTTTTGTATTTTTAGTAGAGACGGGGTTTTACCATGTTGGTCAGGCTGCTCTCAAATTCCTGACCTCGTGATCTGCCTGCCTCATCCTCCCCAAGTGCTGGGATTACAGGCGTGAGCAACAGAGTTCAATTGAGCATGGAATGATTTGCAAACTGGGTAGCCTGTGGATCCAGGGTAGGCGCAGACAGACTCTAGCACAACCACCTGATGAAAACAGATTTATAGACAGCAAAAGCAAAGTGACATACGGAAAATGAAAGTGAGGTACAGAAACAGCCAGATTGATTACAGGTTGGGATTTACCTTATTTAATCACAATTTAAACACTTGATGTTCTTTTATTGGCAAAAGCACAGTGTTTGGTACAATAATGGGTTACAGTCCATTTATATACCCAGTTAGGTTTCAGTTTACTATGTACGAAAAACCTAGTGACCGGAGTTAAACAGGAAAGGGGGCAGCTTTAGAGATCATTAATTTAACAATTTCTCCCTTTTGGTCAAGTTCTCAATTTTGAGAGATAGACCAAAACTTTAGACATTGATATTACTCTGTCACCATCAAAAGTGTACTTACTTAGTCTCAAATCCCATTGTGAAATAGCAGAACTGTGGGTTTCAAAAGTGGAAACAAGGACTTCACGTTATTTGTTTTTTAGGGTTACAGTAGAGGGGACCATCTTGGATTGAAATCTGCTGTTTCCAAAACAAAAATAAAACCTGGCCTGTTTTAAGATCTACCTATTTGGCCGGGCGCGGTGGCTCAAGCCTGTAATCCCAGCACTTTGGGAGGCCGAGACGGGCGGATCACGAGGTCAGGAGATCGAGACCATCCTGGCTAACATGGTGAAACCCTGTCTCTACTAAAAAATACAAAAAACTAGCCGGGCGAGGTGGTGGGCGCCTGTAGTCCCAGCTACTCGGGAGGCTGAGGCAGGAGAATGGCGTAAACCCGGGAGGCGGAGCTTGCAGTGAGCTGAGATCCGGCCACAGCACTCCAGCCTGGGAGACAGAGCGAGACTCCGTCTTAAAAAAAAAAAAAAAAAAAAAGATCTACCTATTTATTTAAATTTTTAATTTGATTATTTCATGTTTAACATGAGTGACTCCATTTACTTTGATTTGGTCTGTCTGGGTCTAGTGCACAAGTTCAGTCCAGAATAATGGCCTCCAATACTTTTGTTTAAAAAATTTCCCCCTTATGGTTAAGTTCTCAAATAGGTCAGAGTGTGACTAAAACTCAGGGTCTTAGTGTCTCTCTCTGTTTTCATTATTTTTGGTTTTTGTTTTTATCAGGTCCTTCATGGGTTATGGTGCCCTCATGGTCACTTATGTATTTAACTTTTTGTGGTTCCAGTTAAAGAGAGTTCATTTGACATTCTAGAGATAACTGCATGCAAACTTCAATAACTTCTGAGAAATACAGTCCAGTAGGGAGATACTATTTTGACTATCCAGGGGATAATATCAAAAGTTTCAAGTATGCTTTTCAGCCAGGATCCCATGAACCCACTAACTAAAGTTAAATAGATCAAATAATTAGCTACATAAATGGTCTCCTCATTTCAAACAAGCAGCCTATTCATTAATCTCCTACAACTGAATCTCTATAATACCTAGTGAATTTCTCTATGTGCAACTGTAAGTATTAGCAACTTCACAGATATTTCTGTTTATCCAGTAAATAATCTAGAGAATTTCTATTATTTAGCACAGATTTAGTAAGAAAAATTAAAGTCTATTGTGTACCCATAGCCTTTACAATAGAATTTGCTATAAAGTCCTATTATGGGGAATACATTTCTTTTTTCTTTCTTTCTTTCTCTCTCTCTTTCTTTCTTTTCTTTTCTTTCTTTCTTTCTTTCTTTTTCTTTCTTTTTTCTTTCTTTCTTTTTTTTTTTTTTTTCCTGAGACAGAGTCTCACTCTGTTGCCCAGGCTGGAGTGCAGTGGCATGATCTCAGCTCACTGCAACCTCTGCCTCCCAGGTTCAAGAGATTCTTCTGCCTCAGCCTCCCCAGTAGCTGGCATTACAGGCACATGCCACCACACCCTACTAATTTTTGTAATTTTAGTAGAGATGGGGTTTCACCATGTTGGCCAGGCTGGTCTCGAACTCCTGACTCAGTCTCCCAAAGTGCTGGAATTACAGGCGTGAGACACCATGCCCAGCATAGGGAATAAATTTTTAATCATTGCCTCATTTACTCTAAACCATGGGGAGAAAAAAGACCTCACAAATGATACACATTAAGAGTAATGGCCTCCTGGCAACACTCTATAACCTATTCTGAATAAGTTCTCTTTAACCTATAAAGTAGGTTAAGAGCAGTGCACAAATATTCTGTTTTTGATATTATGAGGCAACAGATGTCCCACTAAAAATTCTCACCAGGCCAGGTGCAGTGGCTCATGCCTGTAATCCCAGCACTTTGGGAGGCTGAGGCGGGCAGATCACGAGGTCAGGAGATCGAGACCATCCTGGCCAACATGGTGAAACCCTGTCTCTACTAAAAATACAAAACTTAGCTGGGCGTGATGGCGTGTGCCTGTAATCCCAGCAGTTGGGGAGGCTGACGCAGGAGAATCATTTGAACTACGGAGTTGGAGGTTGCAGTGAGCTGAGATCGCACCACTGCACTTCAGCCTGGGCAACAGAGTGAGACTCCATCTCAAAAAAAAAAAAAAAAAAAAATCTCACCCACATTGGCCCTTTATCTTTTACTTATCAAGGTGTAAGTTTGTTTATATAGAAGGTTGGCTGCAAAATCATTTTCATATAAAAGTGTAGCTCATGAATGCACACAAGAGACCCCTTTTTTATTTCCGTCATTTGGAGAGCCGTAAGAAAAGAGCAGTGTACTAAGAGTGTCATGATAGCAGAGATGTATTTCTTGATTTTTAAAATCTTGTTTAAAAAAATAAAGCTATCTATATCAACGTTATCGTCTGCTTTTGAGGAGAGGCTTCCCTGGTTAGCTTTACCTTAAGACCTCCAATGGGTATACAATTGCTAGAGTTTGGAGGGGCCCTTCTGAGTCAAGAGATTATCAACCCGAGGTTTAAAGTCCTGAAGTCTTGCTGCAATGTAGATGGCAGGCAGACTCAATCTCCGGGTTCTAGATTATAAAAGGTTTTATAGTATTCCATCAGTAGACCATTAAAAGCATTCTTTACCTAGTGAAAATATGCTTTGCCATGATGCATTAAAGCTTTGCTGCATTTAGTCATATTAGACTTCAGTAGCAGAAGATACATAAGGTTCTATTATCAGGTGCATAAGCCATCCAATGACTATTTTATAATAGTCAACACATTTTTTCACTCTCAGTTAACCTGATGGTCATCAATCTGCAATGACAAAAGCAATTCAGTCAATTTAGTTAGCTTTGTTCAATATTACTGTTTCTGTAATACCTTATTTAACAGTTCTATAATATGTCTAGTGAAATAAGTATCTCTATTATTGGAGAATTTTTCAGAAATGTTTCATGAGCAAAACATATTTCCTAATATTATTTTGGCTACTGTTAAAACATCAGACATTTTGCATGAGAAAACTTTTTTTTTTTTTTTTTGAGATGGAGTTTCACTCTTGTTGCCCAGACTAGAGTGCAATGGCATGATCTTGGCTCACCGCAACCTCTGCCACATGGGTTCAAGTGATTCTCCTGCCTCAGTCTCCCGAGTAGCTGGGATTACAGGCATATGCCACCACGCCCGGCTCATTTTTTGGTTTTGTATTTTTAGTAGAGAAGGGGTTTCACCCTGTTAGCCAGGATGGTCTTGGCTAATCTGGATCTCCTGATCTCGTGATCCGCCCGCCTTGGCCTCCCAAAGTGCTGGGATTACAGGCATAAGCCACCGCACCCGGCCTGAAAATTCTCACTTTTTAAAAATATTTCTAGGGCTTCCGGTGGAGTGCTGGGTCGTCGCTCGCAGCCGTCATGGCAGCGGAGGAGAAGGACCCTCTGAGCTATTTCGCGGCATACGGAAGCAGCAGCTCACGCTCCTCGGACGAAGAGGATAACATCCAGCCGGAGGAGAAGAGTCGCAGAACCCCGCATCCAGCGAAGTCGGCGGGCGGCTGTAGGAACAAGGCGGAGAAGCGGCTCCCGGGACCCGACGAGCTGTTTAGGAGCGTGACTCGCCCGACCTTTCTCTACGATCCGCTCAACAAGCAGATAGACTGGGAGAGGCACGTCGTCAAGGCACCTGAGGAGCCTCCAAAGGAATTCAAAATATGGAAGTCAAATTATGTACCACCTCCTGAGACCTACACCACTGAGAAGAAGCCTCCTCCTCCAGAGCTTGACATGGCAGTAAAATGGTCTAACATATATGAGGACAATGGTGATGATGTCCCACAGAATACTAAGAAAGCTAGGCTTCTACCGGAAGGGGAGGAGACGTTGGAATCAGATGATGAAAAAGATGAGCATACTTCTAAAAAGCGCAGAGTAGAGCCAGGAGAACCAGCAAATAAGAAAAAGTAGAAACAAATGACCAGAATTTCTGGACTGCTAAACTTGTTGAAAAATTTCTTTGGACAGATTAAGTTGATATTGTGGGTTATTATGCCACATCTCCATCAAAGTGCATACGTTAATGAACTAATAAGTATTGCCTCAAGAACTTTCCACTGTAGAATTCTTTTTTTATTTAAAACACGTATGTATTTAAAACTCAACTGGTGACTTGTGATTGTGAAATTGATAACACTTGGATGCATTCTTGCTCTCACAGAATTGGTGACATGCTTTTGAGAGTTTTGTCACATGTTGACATGCCAATGTTCTGTAAACCTTTTATAAAGGAATATATTTTTAAAGTAAATATATTGTACTGTGAACTTGTAGGTGCTTTTGAACAGTCTTTGTACAGTGTAAATAGACCATGGAAATAAAATTACTTATTCAATATTACTATTACTGCATAACATTAACATTTGAATGTTTGTCTGTGACAAGTACCCTATTTGTTGTGTGACATTTTAAGTTGTAATAAGAAGTATTACCATTTAAAGAGTGCCTCCTGTGTTCCAGGTGCTTTGTGCATATGTTTTCTCTGATCCTTAAACAACCTAGCAAGGTATTATTAGCATTCTCATTTTATAATAAAGAGTGCTTGAGTAGCTTGTCTAAAAAAAAAAAAAAACATATTTCTACTCAGGCCAGGCACGGTGGCTCACCTCTGTAATCCCAGCGCTTTGGGAGGCCGAGGTGGGGAGATCACCTGAAGTCAGGAGTTCGAGACCAGCCTGGCCAACATGGTGAAACCCCCTCTCTACTAAAAATACAAAAATTAGCCAGGCGCACTGGCAGGCAGCTGTAATCACAGCTATTTGGGAGGCTGAGGCAGGAGAATTGCTTGAACTCAGGAGGCGTAGGTTGCAGTGGGCTGAGATCTGTCACTGCACTCCAGCCTGGATGACAGAGCAAGACTGTCTGGAAAATAAATAAATAAATAAATAAAATACATATTTTTTCAGCATTTTAAAGGTTTCTGTAACTTTCTGAAGATTTTAGCATATAAAATATTTTATAAAGATTTAGAATGCATATTTTTCTAAAATGCACAAATATCATGTTTCTGAAAAAATATTTTACAGTTTTTTTTGTGTGGCACACAATGACATCTAATGAGAAACCTAAAGTTACATCAGTTAGAACATATCCTTTCCTTAATATACCATAAAGTAATAATAATTTGTAAAATATAATTTCTATTACTAAGAAATTGATTCTATATTTATACAAATTTCTGAAGTAAAAGTACATAACTGTAGAGAATAATACCTATATATGGCCAAAATTATGTTTTTCTATATTACTAAAGTAATATTGGCAAAATTGTTGACCTGAATTCACATTTTTGGCTTTAATCATCATGCTTTTTTATTAGCACTTCCCTGAATTCATAAAAATAATCTCAGTTTGAATCTTCCATTTAATTCAGATGTTAATTAAAAAAATTTTTTGGCCAGACGCGTTGGCTCACGCCTGTAATTCCAGCACTTTGGGAGGCCGAAGCGTGTGGATCACCCGAGGTTAGGAGTTTGAGACCAGCCTGGCCAACATGATGAAATCCCGTCTATACTAAAAATACAAAATTAGTTGGGCATGGCTGCGGGCACCTGTAATCCCAACTACTCAGGAGGCTCAAGCAGGAGAATCGCTTGAATCCAGGAGGTGGAGATTGCAGTGAGCCGAGATCGTGCCATTGTACTCCAAACTGGGCAAAAAGAGTGAAACTCCGTCTCAAAAAAATAAATAAAATAAAATTTCAGGCAGAGTCTTGCTCTGTCACCCAGGTGGGAGTGTAGTAGCTTGATCACAGCTCATTGCAGCCTTGACCTCTCTGGCTCAAACAATTCTTTCATCTCATTTTTACACTGTTTGGAGAGATGAGGTCTCACTATATTGCTCAGGCTGGTCTCAAAACTTTGGGCTCAAGCAATTCTCCCACTTTAGCCTCCTAAAGTGCTGAGATATAGGCGTGAGCCCCTGCACCCCGCAATTGTAAAATTCTTAATTTAATTTGATTTGGGTAGATACTACTTGTTGAATTTACTTTAGTCAATGATTATTTTTGTTATTTACAATGCTCAGAAAATACTACCTCTTGGGATTCCACTGTCATAATTCAATGACATATTTTAGGCCTAAAACCTTTCCATTTAAGGCTGGGAGCAGTGTCTCCCACCTGTAATCCCAGCACTTTCAGAGGCCAAAGTGGGCGGATCCCCTGAGGCCGGGAGTTTCAGACCAGACTGACCAATATGGTGAAACCACATCTCTATTAAAAGTAGAAAAATTAGCCAGGCGTGGTGGCAGGCACCTGTAATCCCAGCTACTTGGGAGGCTGAGGCAGGAGAATCCCTTGAACCTGGGAGGCAGAGGTTGCAGTGAGCCAGAGGTTGCAGTGAGCTGAGATCATGCCAGTGCACTCCAGCCTAGGAGACAGAGGGAGACTTTGTCTCCAAAAAAAACAAAACAAAACAAAACAAAAAAGCAAACAAAAAAACAAAACAAACAAACAAGAAAGTTTCCATTTAAAATAATTGTCTGGTATTTGAAAACAATGAGTGTTTTATATTTACTGGCCAAAATACAGCCTATGCCTAATTATTCAAACTTTGTAATAAAATTATTTAACATTATGCTCATGCAGTTATTGTATACTAGAAAATTTAATTTCTATAATTACGCTAATGGCCTTAACGTAACTTAACAGAAGTAAAAAATGTGATGGAGGCTAGAAAAGAAAGTGGATGAAGAAAGAGAAAATGTTGATCAAAGTGTACAAAGTTTCACTTAGAAGGAATAAGATCAAGTGATTGATTGCACAGAATAGTTGCTATAATAAATAATGCATTCTATATTTCAAAATTGCTATAAAGAGATTTTATATGTTTTTGACACAAAAATATCCTAAGTATGTGAGGTGATAAATTTTTTACCTTGATTACAAAATTTTGCACATAAACATATTAAAATATGACATAGTACCCAATGAATACATACAGTGATTATGTATTAATTTAAAATATAATTTTTAAAACAGTACAATTTTTTATTTGATATAGTCACTGTAAACTCTTAGAAGTTAAGCCTATCAATGTTCAATGGCTTGGAATAATGCCTCACATATTTTATGCCCTAAATACTAATAACAGTGATTGTCAGATTATCTTTTGGTTATAGCTTTCTTTAAATATAATATTATTTTGTTGTTGCTCTTATTAAAATTTATTTTTCTGTCATACCTAAATATTGCTAAAAATAAAAGAGAGGATTTCTTTGCCTGCTTTATAAAGTCCGCAGTCAAATGTCAGTTTAGCTAAGGTTATATTAAGTCATTTGTTTTGGAAAGTAAACACGAGAATTAAATAATACAATTTTAGTTATATTCTCTATTCTAACAATTGAGAAAAATTTGAGTTATTAATTGATAGGGCTAAAGTCTTATTTTATATTTTTATTCCAGATTATTTCATGTCAAGTAACCAGAATATCAATTTTCACAGTATACTATGAAGTAAAAATAAATGTGATAGGCACAGATTATAGAAGTAAATTAGAAAAACATTCTATAAATAGAATCTGTATATATATATCTATATATACAAACACACACACAAACTACTTATATATATAAGAAAATTGAGTATATGAATTACCATGTAACAAGTAAAAAGATTAATTTGAATATTTTAAAATAAGAAAGCATATCAAGTTGCTTAAATTTTAAATTTCACCAACATTTAATGAAAAGTTACTACCAATATCTCACAAACCCTTTCAGCAATAGAAGACAAGGTAACATTTCTTAATTCATTTATTAGCAAGGATTACGTCAATGTCAAAATCAGACAAAAGAATCACAAGAGGACTACTAACCAAAATCCCATATAAATATAGATGTAGAAATTCTCAGAAACACTAGCAAATTAAATCCAGCAACATATAAAAATGATTACATATGGCTGGGTGTGGTGGCTCACACCTGTAATCCCAGCACTTTGGGAGGCCTAGGTGTGCAGATCACTTGAAGTCAGCGTACCACCACACCCAGCTAATTTTTGTATTTTTAGTAGAAACAGGGTTTCACCATGTTGGTCAGGGTGGTCTAAAACTCCTGACCTCATGATCCCCCCGCCTTTACCTCCCAAAGTTCTGAGTCTTTGTTACTGACCTCGATCCCTGGTGGACTGAACAAAGGAGGGCAGACGTGGAAATAAAGACAAAGACACAAGAGTATTTTTGAAAGAAGGGGTCAGGCGGCACATTGCCTCTAGTAGACAAGGGCCCAAATTTTCCACAGCCCTTTGTATTTATTGGTAAAAGAGATAGTGAGAAGGGGGATGGAAGAAGAGGTCATTTGCTCAGTCCAGAGTAGGCTTGCAAGACTGCATTCCTCAAACAATAGGCTCAGATGTCCCAGTAGATAACCTCAAGGAGCCGAACACCAGGGAGTGACTGCCCTCAGCAAACTTTCTGGTAATTAAACTTTCTGGTGGCAGGCACAATCGTGAGTTTGCTCACATCCTGCATTCATGACAAACAGTTTGCTGTTTGATCACATAGCCTCTAGTGGAATGCTGAGTTGGTCACAATCCCTTTGGCCTTTTTGGCTCCCAACCTCTCCTACTTTATGTTTATGTATTAATTAAAATAACGTAAGGCCAGGCTGGGCAGCTCTCATTTTGCAATTGACATTCCATCTGATTTTAGACTATGAACAGAAGACAGAGACAGAACAACATTATTCCAAGAACTACATACAAGATGTTAACGTGATGCTTTAGATAGGTCCAAGGGTTGAGGCTCTCCAGGCCTTGCTGGAATTTGGTCCAGTCTTCTAAAGAAGGCTGAAACTCTCGAGTTTTTTTATTTAGATCAATAATTTTGTTTTGTAATTCACCAATATCAAAGATGATGTTGGATGTGAAAGTTCCCTGCAAATGGGCTTTCACAAGGCCCCATGGATACTCGCTTTGGTTATATTCTAAGTTGGTTACACAAATATGAGTGTGATTAAAATGACAACGCTATTGCTCCTGTAATTGCAAGCTTTCTCCTAACCATAGAACCATGAATTTTAACATTACCACTTCAGTTTGTAACTCAGTGTTAATTTTATTCTGAAGTAGCCATGCTTGGACAGCTGTGGGTGTCCAGTTCTCCATATACTGAGCTGTTTAAATAGAACTATGCAGAGTTACAGAGGACATCACAACAGAAGTTATTAGTGTGACCAAGGAAACAATAGTGAAAATTATCATGCCTAAGGCTCTATGGACATGCTGAGT